CCACCACGCCTGGCTAATTTTTTTTTTTGGTATTTTTTAGTGGAGACAGGGTTTCACCATGTTGGCCAGGCTGGTCTTGAACTTCTGACCTCAGGTGATCCGCCTGCCTCCGCCTCTCAAAGTGCTGGGATTATAGGCGTGAGCCACCATGCCTAGCCTCAAGTGCCTTTTATTAACAAAGTATTCCTAATTCTTCCTTGCTGCCCCTAATTTTATCATGGCTATCATTAATTTCACTTACATGTAAACTATGATCATTCGATACATTGTTGCCATTATCTTGAATAAAGTGATATTTCTTAGGTCAGTTAAGAATAAGAAAATAGAGGCTGGGCGCGGTGGCTCGTGCCTGTAATCCCAGCACTTTGGGAGGCCGAGACAGGCAGATCACGAGGTCAAGAGATCAAGACCATCCAGGCCAACATGGTGAAACCCCGTCTCTACTAAAAATACAAAAAATTAGCCAGGCGTGGTGGCGAGCGCCTGTAGTCCTGGCTACTCCGGAGGCTAAGGCAAGAGAATGGCATGAACCCGGTAGGCGGAGCTTGCAGTGAACCCAGATTGCGCTACTGCACTCCAGGCTGGGTGACAGAGCAAGACTCCGTCAAAAAAAAAAAAAAAAGAATAAGAAAATAGAAAGTTTTAATTTTACCTCCACTTTTCTAATGCTCATCCTTTATGCAGATTTGAGTTTCTGACCTACATAATTTTCCTTCTTTCTGAAGAACTTCTTTTAACATTTCTTACAAGGCAGAGCTACCAGCAAAAATTCCTTCAGTTTTTATTTGTTTGAGAAACGCTTTACTCCCTCTTATCTCTTGCAGGATAATTTTGCAGGATACCAAAGTCTAGGTTGGTCATTTTTTATTCCCAATACATTAAATATTTCACTCTACTCTCTTCTTGTTTGGATAGCTTCTGAGGAGAGGTCAGATGCAATTTTTACGTTTGCTGCTCTGTAAATAAGGTTTCTCCCCCCTCTGGCTGCTCAAGATTTTATTATTAGTGTTTGCTTCTCTGCAGTTTTAATGATATTCCTAGCTGTAGCTTTTTGGTTTCATCTTGGGGTTGAGGGGATTTCATGAGGGGGTGAGGGGATTAATCCTGTTTGGTATACTCTGAGCTTCCTGAATCTATGGCTTGGTATCTGATATTAATTTGGGGAAAAATTCTCAGTCATTATTGCTTCAAATATTTCTTCTTTTCTTTTCTCTGTTTCTCTTCCATTCGGTATTCCCATTATGTGTCAAGTTACACCTTTTGTAGTTGTTCCACAGTTCTTGGGATATTCTGTGGGGCAACAGTAGTGGGAGAGTGTTTTCTCCATACTATCCCTGGATACTTTTAAATATTTGTCAATCTGACAATGAACAAGGGCAATCTTACTGTAGTTTGAATTTTTTAATTACTAGCAAGGCTGAATATTTTTCATGTTTATTAGCCATTTGATTTCTTGTTTAGGAATGGCACAATTTTTTACTAGATAATATATAGACGAGATTTATTTTTAAGAATGGAAACTAGGAAATAATAAACTCAATCTACGGAAATCCTTAATTCTAGGTAATATTGTCGAAGCTATATGGCCCGCAAGGGACATTCTATTTTACTTCACATTCACCTGGTGAACACATCATTTGCTTAGAATCTAATTCTACGAGGCTTGTGTCATTTGGAGGGAATAGGCTGGTAAGTACATGCTCCCCATGTCCTTGTTGATGAACACAGCGTCAGCACTATTCAAGCATGACACTGGTATGCAGATCCATTACACTCAAACTGGCTAGAAACTTATTAAAGTCCTATGCCCAGATCTCATCGCAGCAACCAAAGAGGGAGCTGGAGAGCTTGGAAGGGGTTCAAAGGAGAGCCATGAAGTTGATTAAAGGGTTGAAAAATAAGAGCCGTGAGGGAAGGTTAAAAGAACTGTGATTATTCAGGCTTGAAAACAAGTGAAGGCTGAAGAGTGAATTAATAATGGAATTCTAATAAATAAAACTCTTACACGGTAGATGGTGATTGGCTGTTTTCTAAATGTGTTCAGAACTGATGAAAACAATTTGTACTTTAGCATAAGAAATTTAGTTATATGTAAAGAAAATTTCCCTCAGAACGTTAATCAAATTTTCTCCAAACCAAAGTCATTTACCTAATAGTTAATTTGATGTTCAGGAAGGTATAAATATACTGTAAGGTCAGTAATTTACCATTTAATGCATTATTATTACAAGAAAGACTACCAAGTAGAACAAGGAAGAATGGCACTGAGGGAAAAAAGGGAGCTGAAGAGTGAAGTAGCGCCCTGCTTATGAAAAGGGGGAAGGGAGAAAAAGGAAGGACGGAGGAATGGGAGGATACAAGAGTGAGAAAGTAAGGAAAAAGAGTGGAGCTGTTTTTAAAAACATGCCATTTTTTCCTTTTTACTGTTTGTACAGAGGATCCACTTAGATATTCGAGTTGGAGAACATGACCTTGATGCGGCCATTGCTCAAGCAAAGGACAAAGTTAATGAACTTACCTTCAAGCTTGAGTATCTAATTGAACAAATTGGGCAAATAGTCAAAGAACAAAACTATCAAAGGGTCAGTCTGCCTATTCAGCTTATTTTATCTCTTGCTACTAGCAACGCATTTCTCAACGCAAAGCCCCTGGACCAAGGAAAGAATGAACTGCCTGTTCCTCACTCTTTCTATCTGAGGTGGACTCACAGGGACTGGAGAGAGCAATTTTTCTTCACTCTGTCTGCTGGACCATGAGCTCCTCTAGGAAAGAGAATTTCAGTTCATTCATCTTTTTATGCCCTGTGCCTAACAAAGTCCCCAGCAGCACAGGGTGTGAGCTTGCAGAATGAATAAATGCTTCCAAATGCATCCTATATATTTGTAGAGACTCGTGTGTACTCACTTTCCAAATCACAATTTTATTCTTATAACATTAGGTGCTTTTTGAGTCACTACACTAAGTGGATGTTGGTCAGATATGGGCTTAAATCTCATCTACACGTCAGTAATCTGTGTCATCTCTAAGCTTCAGTTTCCTTACCAGGTAGATAAGGACAGGTATGATAAGCAAATAAGGCATGCAAGTGCTTGGTCTAATGCCTGGCATAAAAGCTGGACTCAAATGATGAAATCTACCATTATTGGGTAATGTTCACTTTGCCTGATGGTAGCAAATAAGATATATAAATAGGTCAAATTCCTGATATTTTACACCAAAATACAAAAACATCTTTTATAAGGTTGATTTTTACTCTCTTATACTTGGCTAAACAATGGATTCTGGTTTAGAAAAGCAGACTGCACGGATACATTGGTGTAAGGTATTAATTGGGTAATATTAAATACCTTGAATGCCCACAACAACCCTCTCCTCAAAATCATGAGTTAAGTACTTTATGACACTAAACCTGTCTATTTCTTTTTCGCACAGGACCGTGAAGAAAATTTTCGGATGACCAGTGAAGACACAAATAGCAATGTTTTATGGTGGGCTTTTGCACAAATACTAATCCTTATCTCAGTCGGAATTTTCCAAATGAAATACCTGAAAGACTTCTTTATAGCTAAGAAGCTTGTTTAAAATATTATCAATAAGGACAAATAATTTGCACAATGTTTGAGTTAATAAATCAAAATACCTGCATAAATGTGTATTCCTTTTATGATTTCAAAGATACCAGAGATTGAAATTAACATTATATCATTATAACATTGATAGAATCCTTTTATAATATAGCTTCTGAATTTGACAGATCAGGCACCTCATCCTGTTCTTACTTATTTTTGAGACAGAGTCTCGCTCTGCTGCACAGGTGCCCTAAGGCTCACTGCAGCCTCGACCTCCAGGGCCCAAGTGATCGATCCTCCCACCTCAGTCTCCGGAGTAGCTGGGACCCCAGGCACCCACCTCCACACCCAGCTAATTTTTGTAGAGAGGTGGTTTTGCCATGTTGCTGGTCTTGCTATTTTAAACTTGGTAGAGATCAGCACTGTCTAACAGAAATAAAAGTGGGCTACATATATAATTCTAATTTGTTGTTGTTGAGACAAAGTCTCACTCTGTTGCCCAGGCTGCAGTGCAGTGGTGTGACTTCGGCTCACTGCAACCTCCGCCTCCTGGGTTCAAGGGATTCTCCTGCCTCAGCCTCCTGAGTAGCTGGGATTACAGGCGCCTGCCACCATGCCTGCTAATTTTGTATTTTTAGTAGAGAGGGGGTTTTACTATGTTGGCCAGGCTGGTCTCGAACTCCTGACCTCAGGTGATTTGCCCGCCTCAGCCTCCCAAAGTGCTGGGATTACAGACGTGAGCCACCGCACCCAGCCCATACGTAATTCTGTGTTTCCTAGTCTCCACATTGAAAAGGATTTTTTGAAAGGGTAAAATCAACGCTAGTGATATATTTAACCTAATATATCAAAAATATCACTTTAACATGTAATCAACATAAAATTACCAAGACGTTTTTCACACGAGGCCCTGGAAACAGCTGTATGGGCGCAGGGGCCACTTGGCCCGCAGCTACGGAGAGCACTCACCCTGTGCTCTCCCGGCACAAGCACGTGCCTGAGCCTCTCCATCGGAGCTCTGCAGCGTCCCGAGGGTGGAAACTCTCAGAACCACGCGGAGGGCAATTTTATAAAAACTCACTTCCCCATGCTGGAAGCTGGAAGCAGCAAAGGTCCTTCCCAGGCTACGCCTTCTGTTTCAGAGGAAGCAGGCTCAGGCCTCCCGTGGTGAGGTCTCTGCACCAGCAGCCACCTGGTCACTAGCTCGAAAGCGCAGAGTGCGACCTAGCCTCCACCCCAACCGCCCCACCCCCACCCCACCCCGCACCGCCCCACCCACACCGCCGTCCAACCCGACCGCCTCACGGCCCCACACCCACCCCAACTCCCACATCCCCACTCCCGCTCCTGCTCCCACCCCAACTCCCACACCCACTTCTCCCTCCCATCCCGCTCCCAGGGCCCCCACACCCACTCTCCTGACTCCTCCCCGGCCCGCCCCGCACACTACCCCGGCGGCCCTGGCCTCAGGCCCAGCTCCCAGCCCTCGTGGTGGGCCTGGCCAGCATCCCCCACCCTCTCCGCGCTCCTTCTGCCCCTCCCCCACTGCGGTCGCGCCCGACGCCTCCTCAGCGCCGCCGCCATTCCCAGCGCCCGACGCCTCCTCAGCGCCGCCGCCTCAGCGCCGCCGCCGTTCCCAGCGCCCGCCACCCAGGCCGGGCTTCCACAAAACACCTGAGGACCGCAAAGACAGGGACGGGACGTCGGTGCTCGCGGTGCGTTCCTCCGCCTACTCCAGCTAAAACCACCCGGGAGAGGAGTCAGACGCGCCCTCACTAGTGCTGCAGGGCCGCCCGCGGTGTTGGCGGGAGGGCGCCAGCTCCAGGGCGCGGGCGCAGAGCTGCCGTCGAGTTTGCGCAGGCGCAGAGCTGCCCGCCCGCGGGCCCAGCGCGTGGAGGCTGGTCCCAGCGTTGCGTGGGCCTCGCGTGGGCCCGGCCTCGCCGCTGCGGTCGCCTGGCTGGCATGGCCAACTGGGTGTTCTGTAATCGCTGCTTCCAGCCGCCCCAGAGGACGTCGTGCTTCAGCCTCACCAACTGCGGGCACGTGTACTGCGATGCCTGCCTCGGCAAAGGTCAGGGCGTCCGGAACGCAGGCTGGAGAGGGGAGGGGAGCGGCGGGCGGGGGCAGGGAACTCCGGGGGGCGGGGGGCTTGGGTGGGAAGGCCATGGGGGCACGTGGGGGGCCGCGGAGGAGACAGGGCGGGTGGAGAAGGGGAGGGGGCGGGGCCGCGGGGGGAGGGGGATGCCAGGGGAACTCTGAGGGGAGGGGGACTCGGGGGGAGGAGCCGCGGGGGAGAGAGGGCGCGTGGAGAAGGAGGGGGTATGGGGGGGTGAGGGGCTGCGGAGATAGGGGATTCGGAAGAGGGGCCACCAGGAAGAGGGCTCCTCTAGTGTGATGAGGGGCCGCTGAGGAGAGGGGGACACCGGGGAAGCGTTGGGGAGGGAGGTGGGGAGTGAGGGGCTGTGGGAGGGTGGGGGGAGAGGGGACCCCGGAGGTGGTGGGGGGCTGCAGGGAGGAAGGGGACGCTAGGGGAGGGGGCGGGGGGGATGTGAGAGGTCAAGGGGGTGAAGGGGGATACCGGGGAGATGGGGGGAAGGGAGACACCAGGGGAGGAGGGCGCGGGTGAGGGGCCGCAGGCAGGAAGGGGCCACGGGGGCGGGGCGGAGGGCCGCCATGAGGAGCAGATGAGGGTGACGGCGGGGGTCAGGCCGCGAGTCCTGTCATCCCGGGGCTCTGGCTTGCAGGCTGCGGGTCCCGCCTGGAGGACCTGGGGGAGAAGGCGGGTGGACGGCAGCCTTAACGCTCGTGGAGGACTCTGGCCCTGTTCCACTGGCAGCGCTGGGCCCTGGTGTCAAGCGGACATCGCATTGTCAGGGAGGCGTTTTTCTTTCTATGAAAATTTTGTGTTGAAGTGATGTTTATGCAAGAACAAAAGCAAGAGCACAATGAGCTTTTACCAAGTGAACTTACCGGTGAAAGCAGCCAGCTGGGTGCCGGTGGCTCACAGCCAGCCCAGGGGACGCCCGCTGTGCTAACCTCCAACTTCGGAGTTGGCCTTAGACCCATGGGACCTTGGTGAATGTGGCCCTACAACCAGCCCTACAGCAAAGCCGCTTTCCGTGGCTCCCCCTCTTTCTTCCTTTTTCTCCCTTACTTTCTCTCTTTCAAGGCAGAGCTCTGCTCAGTCGCCCAGGCTGGAGTTCAGTGCAGGATCTTGGCTAACTGCAGCCTCAGCCTCCCAGGCTCAAGTGATCCTCCTGCCTCAGCCTCCGGGGTGGCTGGGGTTACAAGCATGTGCAGCCATGCACCCCTGATTTTTAAATTTTTCACAGAGATGGGGCTTCCTTTGGTGCCCAGGATGGTCTCCAATTCCTGTTCTCTAAGGATCACCCGCCTTGGCCTCCCGAAGTGTTGTCTTTGTATTTGTATGTAACTGTAGTTCATCTACTTTCATTGTTGTGTGGTATTCCATCGTATGGATACACCCCAAGTTACTTACCATTTCCACTGTCCATGGCCATCTGGGTTGTTTGCAGATTTGGCTGTAGAAATGGTGCCGCTGTGAATCTTCTCGCTCCTGTGTTTGGTGATCTTAGGTACACATTTCTGTTGGGTGTGTAACCTAGGAGTGGAGTTGTTGATTTCAGGTGTGTATTTAAAAACAAAAGTCTCTCTGGCAGCCTGGTGAAAAGTAGATTGGAGGGAGATAGAAACTGTGGGAGAGACTGCAGCTGAGCACATGAGAGGTGATGGGGAGAAGTGATGGGTTCAGGAGAAGTTAGGTAGATTCAGCAGACTTGAGTCGGAGACAAGGGCTAGAGAACGGGACAGAGTTTCGCTGCTAGACAAAACACTGGAGAGGAGCCCAGTGGGAGGGAACGTAGCAGGGTGGGATGCAGGGTCCCTGAGCTCATGTTTGGACACGGCCTGTGTCCTGTGAGAGCCACCCAGGGGAAGACAAGAGGCAGTTGCCTGTGTGGGTCCAGAACTAAGACAGCCAGGAATACATTTGGGGAGTGATTAACACAGGATAATAATCCTAGATACTGGAGTGTGGAGAGCCCCAAAGGCAAAGGAAACTGTAAGAGACTATCTTGTTGGAAAGAGCATTTGTTGAAGGAGGTAAGGAAGATGTCAGGTAAAGAAGAGAGATGTTGATGAACTGGACATCCCAGTGAAATCAAGGAATTGGTGTTTGAAAGTGTCCGTTGGACCAGTGAGGAGGGCACTGGTGACCCAAGATAACATTCCTCGAAGATAACATTGTTAGGAATGATGGAGACACACGTACCTTCGTGGTGTTGGGAAGTGTGAAGACAGGGCTCAGAGTGTCATAGCTTTTGAGGTCAGCAAAGCCTGCGTTGGCAGGTGACTGGTTAAGGGCCTGAGGCAGGTATAGATTGACAAGTTTGTCTAGCTCTTAACGCCGGTAGTCTGAGTGCATTCCTCCAAAAAGCCACTGATGCTGCATGTTGGGACCACACCAAATCCAAGGACACACAAAAAAATGGTGAAAAGGGATGGAGGCTCTGGGCAGAGCCCTTACTGTAGCTCCGTAGCTGTCCAGTGGTGCATCACTCAGAGGGAAGCCCTTGTTTAGCTCTGGCGTATATCCTTCCAAGATTTTCCTATAGATGCAGATTTTTAAAAGCAATACAGTGTGTCTATCATTCAGTTATCTGCTTTTATTTCTCAAACATGGACCTCCTTCCATGTTAAAATAAGTCTGTATCATCATTCTTTTTTTTTTTTTTTTTTTTTTTTTTGAGACAGAGTCTGGCTCTGTTGCCCAGGCTGGAGTGCAGTGACGTGATCTCGGCTCACTGCAAGCTCCGCCTCCCAGGTTCACGCCATTCTCCTGCCTCAGCCTCCCGAGTAGCTGCGACTACAGGTGCCGCCACCACGCCCGGCTAATTTTTTGTATTTTTAGTAGAGACGGGGTTTCACTGTGTTAGCCAGGATGGTCTCGATCTCCTGAGCTGGTGATCCGTCCGCCTCGGCCTCCCAAAGTGCTGGGATTACAGGCGTGAGCCACCGCGCCCGGCCTGTATCATCATTCTTAAGGTTGCATGATGTATCTTTTGAGTATCATACCATAACATATTTTCTGCTATTTTGCTATGAGATACCGCTTGTTCTCTTACTTTTTTTCCTTGGAATATATTCTTAGGGGTGGAGTGGCTAGGCTGCGGGTGTGCACATGAAAACTGACCCAAATGTAACCCAAACAGGCACAAAGGATGTGCCTGTTTCTGTTCCCTGTAGTGACACGTGAGCACCTGTTGTTCTTTCCTCTTTGGTGTCTCTTACTAGTGACCTTGACCTTCATTTTGTGTGTTTGTCGGCTGTTTGCATTTTTTCTATGTCTGTTCAGGTCTCCTCATAGCCTTTTATTGAGGTATTTTCTTTTAATTGACTTGTGAGCACTATTTGTAGATCAGGCATCAACCCCTTTGTCTATTGGCTGCATGTGATTTCCTCTCTGTCTTATCTGTTAATCCTCCTCCCTTGTAAGAGCTTTTAGATTTTTATGAGTCAGCTCTGTTAATCTTTTACTGCATGACTCCTGGCTGTGATGGTGCACAAGAGGAATTTTCTTGCTCCAGAATTCGCAGTTAAAGAGCTGGAAGGGAAGGGACCTACTGTCAAGGGTAGATGTTTTTAGCATGAGGGCAACTTGAAGAAGAGAGGAAAGGAGACAGTTCTGGAGGCTGTTAGGAGGGGACCCCTCATTCCACAGTAGGACACCGTTCTGTGTGCTGGGAGCTGCGGACACTGAGGCGAGTGTGGATACACAAGTGAAAGCCTGGGCTTGGACTGGAAGAGATGCTCCCTCCAAGGCAGAAAGGAAGGAGGTAGAGTGAAGTGGGTTGTTCTGTGGTGGGTCAGTCTAGAGGAGAGGGCAGAGAAATTGAGGTAGGTCATGAGCCAGGGCTTCTTCTCAGTAGGTGATATGAGGGCCCTGGTTTGAACAGCCCCGTGGGGAATGGGGCAGAAAACACCCAGGAAAAGCAGGATTGCCCAGCAGTGTTGCTGACTCAGCAGCGCTGGAATCCTCAAGTCTGTGAATCCGCCTCTCGCTCCTCTCACTTAAGAGATGTTTTTCTCGTAGTTCTAGCTGCGCTGACCCAGAGGAGGGGAGAAATCCACCAGGCTTGTTCAGGTTTGGGCCTGGTGTCCTCCCTGGAATGACAGGAGCGTGAAGGCTCATAGTGCCTGGTCTGCTCTGGGCTCCAACCTGACTAGTGAGAAAATCAAGCTTGAGGTTCATTTTGAATAGTTAAACATTTTAGATTAAGAGATCACTATAAAGCCTAATCATGGGCTGGGCATGATGGCTCATGCCTACAATCCCAGCTCTTTGAGAGACCGAGGTGGGCAGATCACCTGAGGTCAGGAGTTCAAGGCGAGCGTGGCCAACATGGCAAAACCCAGTCTCTACTAAAAATACAAAAATTAGCCAAATGTGTTGGTAGGCACCTATACTCCCAGTCACTTGGGAGACTGAGGCATGAGAATCGCTTGAACCCAGGAGGTGGAGGTTGCAGTGAGCCAAGATCGTATCATTACACTCCCACCTGGGTGACAAAGTGAAACTCTGTTTCAAAAAAAAGAAAAAGAAAAAGCTAATTATGGCCAGGCACAGTGGCTCACGCCTGCAATCCCAGCACCTTGGGAGGCTGAGGTGGGAGGATTGTTTGAGCCCAGGAGTTAGAGCCCAGCCTGGACAACATAGTGAGACCTTGTCTCTACAAAAAAAAAAAAAATTAAAAATTAGCTGGCCGTGGTGGCACACGTCTGTGGTCCTAGCTACTCAGGGAGGCTGAGAGGGGAAGACTGTTGAGCCTGGGGAGGGGTCAAGGCTGTAGTGAACTGTGATCATGCCACTTGCAGATCAGCCTGGGCAACAGAGCAAGACCTTGTCTCAAAAAATTTTTTTAATTTTAATTTTTAAAAAGCTTTATTGTAATAAATACCTGGGATAGACTTAGCCTTAAGTGTTGTTGATCTTTATGGTCACTGTTTTTGTGCATATTTGCAAAGGAGGGGAAAAGGATGTTAGTTCTATAAATCCTTCCAACTGTACCAGAACCCACAGCCTCATCCTGTCAGAACATGAAAACCTGTGATATAATCCTGCTTATTTCTTGAAGAAACATTGTAAAGTCTGCATGTATACATACTTAAAAGCAGTAGTCAGTCTAATATAATAAAGCCTATTTTTATCTTACAGGTAAAAAGAATGAATGCTTGATTTGTAAAGCTCCTTGTCGTACAGTTTTACTTTCAAAACATGTAAGTTGAAATCTGTAGTATCTGCATCTTAATCACAGTCATATTTCCTTTTAAATTCGTTATTTAATTTTTAGTCATTTGTGGTGTCTAAAATTTTCAGTCACTCTGCTACGTTAACAAAGATATCTGAGTGATCAAAATGCAGTTAGGATTTAGTTTTTAAAACTTACTTTTTTTTTTTTCTTTTTTTTTGAGACGGAGTCTCGCTCTGTAAAACTTACGTTTTTAAAACTTTCTTAGCTGTAGATTGACCTTATTCCTAGGTTGTTGAATCGTGCTGTGTTCCTAGAAAGTGGGTTAAATAGATTTCTTTAGCACCATACAAGCACCTGAAGCGGGTGATAGAGTTTGGATTTGTATAGGGGTCATATATAATTAAGAGTGTTGTTGGTAAAGTTTAAAATCAATTACTGCTGAAGACTTAAAACAATGCTTTTTGTTCTCTCTATAAAATACTCAGTTTAACTTGTTATTGGTATAAACAAATGATTGGTGTTTTCTCTGCCTGATCTCCAAAATGTGCATTTGGTCTGATGATTTAAATATAATAGTTGTTTTTCTCTGATTACAAACATAATACAAAGTTACACAACATTCATACAGTACAGGAGATTATAATGGCAAATGTGTAAGTCCCCAGATCCTGTTTCCCAGAGATGACAGTGACCAGGAGTTTGACACCTGTTCTATGTGTGTTATTGTGATTTACCTTTTCGTAAAAATGGTGTCTTCTCGGCCAGGCACGGTAGGTCACGCCTGTAATCCCAGCACTATGGGAGGCCGAGGCGGGCGGATCATGAGATTGAGACCATCCTGGCTAACACGGTGACACCCCGTCTCTACTAAAAGTACAAAAGATTAGCCGGGTATGGTGGCGGGTGCCTCTAGTCCCAGCTACTCGAGAGGCTGAGGCAGGAGAATGGCGTGAACCTGGGAGACAGAGGCTGCGGGTAAGCCGAGATCACGCCACTGCACTCCAGCCTGGGTGACAGAGCAAGACTCTGTCTCAAAAAAAAAAAAAAAAAAAAAAAAAGGTGTCTTCTCAGTTGACATTATATTTTGGGCACACTCACTCTTAAAATGACTGCATTATATTTTAGTATTTTCCTATCAGTGAGCCTTTGGATTTTTTCGGGTTTTTGCTGTTTCGAACAACCTTCCAGTGAACATTTTTAACCAGTATCTCTCCACGCTTGTAAGAATATTTCTGTGACATAAATTCCTGAAGTGATGAAAAAGTAAGGGCAAAAGATGTAAATGTTTACACTTTTAACAGAAAATACTTTCTTTTCCTCCACACGTGTGGCAGCTTAGAGGCTCAGTGACTGCCTGCTTCTGCTCCTCACGTAGTGATCCCGCACTAAGCCCTGTCACATGGTCAGGCTGGAGGCTGGTGAGCCCTTAGCCTTTCTCTAGCTTGGGTGGAATGTTCAGGTCGTTTACTTACTTTCTTGTTTCCTAGTAAATATATTTAAGACCATCCGTGTCTTTCTGTGCACTGCTATTCTATATCATTTTGAGTACCACTTTTCTCTCTTTTCTAAATAAGCTCTAATCTGTCTTTTTATTTTAACTCAAGAATTATTTGAAAGGATATGCTTTAGTTTCCAAGTGGTTAGATTTTAGCTCCCTGTCATTTTCATCGTTAATTTTTAGTCCTATGGCATTCTGATGAGAGAATATGGCTATGTGGGTTTTTTAATTATCAGGATTTTCACTGTGGTTTAATACATGGTAATTGTTCATATTTGATGGGCGTTTAAAAAGGCATGTGTTCCTCTCTGTGTGTCTGAGTGTGTGTGTGTGTGTGTAAGTAAAATTGTTTAAAATATGGAAGTTGTTCCTGCTTCTCTTTCTCTAAACCATCACAGACTGTGTGGGCTCTTTCTTCCGTAGTCTCTTTCAAATGCCGGTCTTCCTTTCCCTGTTGCTCTACCCCCCATAGGAGCTTCTGGTTCCTCCTCCTCTCACTCTGGCTTCCTAGAGCCTCTTCACCCTGCAGCCAGAGGGATCTGCGTAAATGCATCCCAACTTTCCAGGAGTCAATGCCAAAGTCCCCCATGCCTGTAGGCCCTGTGGCCTGGCCTCTGGCAGCCTCGTGGTCCCCAGGCAGCAACTGTGGGCTACAGCCTCTCCAGGAGCCAAGGTCTTCCACCTCAGTGCCTGGCTTTCCTGTTCCCTCTCACTGGAATGTCCTCTCAGATGGCCACAGGCTCCATCCCCCACAGCCTTAAGGTGTCTATGGAATGTCAGGAGACATCACCAACAGCTCTGGGTCATGCTGGCTTCTTTGACCCTGACCTGCAATAGAAGGGACGCTTTATATTATGGCAGCGTGTGCATTTGCACGTGGGTGCATCTGTGCATGAGCACTTCCGTGAAATCAATTTCACGAAGCAGTTCTTACCCTCGCTTAGTGCAGTACCCTCTGATTGTTTCTATTCTCATGTGTTTTGTCTTTAAAACAAAACATGTTATGAGTAAACTTCCCCAGACCTGATTGTGACAGACACCACCGTGTAAAAGTGACCCTCTGACGCTGTGTTCCTTGACCTGGATTATTCTGCTTCGCAGTGTGTGTCACCACCTGAGATATCTTTATATATTGATTTGTTTGTCATTAAAATGCTCCGTTACGACTGAACGCACAAAATAGGGCACCACCGTATTGGTTGGGTGGTGGATGGCCAGGGAGCAGGGCAGACTGAAGGATGTGCCTGGGGATGTGGTGGGTGGCCAGGCCACCGGGAAGGGAGACTCCGGTGAGCCCAGAGCAGAGCAGAGGCTGTGCTCCGTCCGCATCTGCCTCCTTGAGGAGGGAGAGTGTAAGCTAGACTGTGCCGGTTTTTACACACACATGGAAAGGAGTGGCTATAGTAAGGAGATGAAGGATGAGGATGCCCCACAGTCATGGACACGCCAGTTGCTTTTAAACTCCAAGTAGTAAGAAATAAGTCTCGAGGGTGAAGGCCTTGAAAGTTGAGGCAGCACTTCTGCCTCACTTCACTTGATGGGAACCCCAGCAGGCAGAAGCAGGGCTTGGAGACAGCAGACGAGAGCTCCCCGAGAAGGCAGAGCTGCAGTCCAGCCCAGGCTTTCCCTGGGGAAGCAGCCCCCAGCACCCATCCTCAGATACCTCATGCCATGCACCTGTGTTCTTCCTTCTCCCTTGGTGCAGTGGGGAGTGTTTCTTAGTTTTCCTGCCCCGTGCCCCCATTAGACGTCAGGTCACAGCAAGGATGCAGACACGTTCATTGTCTTTCTAGCTCGTAGACTGCAGGCGAAATCGGGACCCAGTTGCCCCAGCATCTGAGCTGGGCAGTGACAGTGGTGTTGGGGGTGCTCCACTCTGGGGGAGTGACTTTCTGTGTAGGGGAGGAGTGACCTGGATACCAGTGACCAGATGGCAGACCGGGCCAGGCTGGGCAGTCATCCCCACACTTGCTCCCTCTGTTCCTGGGCACCTGGCTGTACTCATTCTCCCCGTCTACCTTCCCATGCTGAAATGCAAGCAGGAGCAATGAAGGCCACTTCCAGGCCTGACCCATAAAAACAGCCTCCTGGACAGCCCTCTACCGCCCTTCCCTCACCGTAGAAGCTCAGGAGAACAGAGCAGAGCTGCTGGGGGCAGGGTGACCTGGGCCCAGGGCCTGTGTGGAAGGCCACCCACTGAGCCTGGTCTTGAACTATTGTGTGGGCAAGAAACAAGGGTCCCCACAATAAGCCATTGAGATTTGGGGGTTGTCTGATACACCAGTTGGCCTACATTCATCTTCGCATGTCCACATATATTTTGGAGGCAACTCGGCAATTTCCACACACATAGAATCCTGTTGGGATTTTTATTGTGCACTTACTGTTCTTTAGGGAGGCTTTGTGCATCAGTGTTAGTATTTTTCTTAGGTATTTAATGATTTGGACTGCTACTATTACAGTTTTAAAAAAATTACCTCTTAAGTGCTTATTGCTAGTATATAAAAATGCAGTTGATTTTCTTAACTTTCACTAGTAACCTTGCAGAATTTACTTGATAACTCTGTTGGTTTATGTGTAGATTCTGCTAGAACATTTACATATGCAAGCATGTTATCTTTGAATAAGGACTGCTTTAGATTTCTCTTTGTAATCCTTATGTGCTTCCTTACGTGCTTCCTTTTTTTTTTTTTACGGCATTGGCTGGGACCTCCAGTACAGTGCTGAGTAGAAGTAGTGGCATTAGCTGACGCCCTTGTCCTTTTCCTGATTTCAAGGTCAAACTTTCAGTATTTCATCAAGTATCATATGTGCATCAGGTTTTTGCTAAGGTGTTTTTTTAATCATCATGAATGGTATTGAATTTTGTTAATTTTTCTATAGTTATTGACCATAACTATTAGCTTATTCTATAGCTGTCGAGATTATCATTTAATTATTCTCTTTTATTTTGTTAATGTGGTGAGTTACATTTATTTTTCGAATTTGAAACCCACATTAGATTCTAGGAACAAATTCAACTTTGTAGTGATATAAGATAGCTTGTATCTGTAAGTAAATTCAGTTTGCTACTATTTTGTATGGGGTTGTTTGCACCAGTGTTCATATGAGAGCTGGACCTGTAAATTTTTTTTCTTGTAATGCCCCTTCACATTTTGGTAAATCAGGTCTATTCTAGTTTCATAAAACAAGTTGTAAATTATTTTTATTTTTCTCCTTTCTGGAAAGTTTTTTTGTAAGATTGGGGTTATTTCTTTAAATGTTTGGTAGAATTCAGGAGTGACACTATTTAGGCCCAGTAAGTTTTTTGTGCAAAGATTTTAAACTAGGGATTTAATATCTTTATTAGACATGGAACTATTTAAAGTTCCTGATTCTCCCTGAGTCAGTTTAAGTAAATTGTATTTTTCTAGGAATTAGTGCATTTCGTCGGAATTTTCAGATTTCTTGTCATCAGTGTGCTTGTAATCCACTCATATTTTTCATGTCTGTAAGTTCCATAATGATGCCCCTTGTTTAATAGTGGG